CTTGACGTACTTCTGTGTGTTTACAGATTGTGGGATTGAAAAATAAAATTTAAATCTAAAATTCAATCGTAACATCCTGACTGATCATTTATATTTACAAGGCATATTTTGGAGTTTTAAAAAAGCTACATCAGTTGTTAATAACGTTAATGACGTGTGATCAGAGTCAATTCAAGAACACAAACTCCACAAAAATATAAAATATAAAAGTAAAAAAAAAAAAAAAAGAGTCACCTTCAAAAGTAAAAAAGACCATCAACAAGATAATTCTTTCTTTACTGTGATCGTTAAAGCCTTTGAGCAGAGGTGATCTCTTATCAGGATGATTAACAGCCGACTGAAGAAACTGTTTTTTTTCTACGCTAAAAAAACTATGGAAGTGATTTATAAACAACAGGCCAGGTTTTAGTGTGAAATCCCTTCTGCAGAACAACCCAAGTATAAGAGTTACTCACCGCTGCTTTAATAACATTTATATTCATAATAGTGTCTCAAGAAATGCAAAAACATTCCGCAAAAGTAAAAATATGTATGTGTAAAATAAAAATAAAAATCTTTCAACTTGGAAACATGTTACTAAAAATGATTTTGTAATCATGACATGTCCATAAAGTTGACCTTCAGGGCCACCGTAGCTTCAGTTTAAAACCATTTGTAACAATGAGGAATACCAAAAATTCAACATTTAAGTGTTAGGACAAAGCAAGATGAGTTCTCTGTTTGAAGACATGACTGATACATGTCAAAGATGAGAAAAGGAGGCATTTCTTTGTCCACAGGGGGCACCAGAGTCAGACCAACCTATGATAATGAGAGAGACCGCGAGACTGACCTTACTTTCTTTTATATTGTATTACAATAGATCTGCATTTCATATATAAGAATAAAAATAAAAACCAGAGGAAAACTGGATTACAGTTTTCATGTGTCTCACACGTACAGAGGCATTGATGCAAAAAGAGGAAATAAAGACTTCATGTTTAAACAATACCGTGCATATAAAACAAACCTGCACACTCTCTCAAGGTCTAATCTGCTGAGAGTGCAGCTGCTCAGAGGTGATCAATACTTGTTATGAAAATAATCCTGCTCTGCTGTTTTAAGGCGATAGAGAGTGCTGAAAGAGAGTTTATCAGAGTCTGCTCCCATTATTGAGACACATTCATCAAAACCTTTTTTTTTCCTTTTGTGTTCACCGCACAAACAGCGTGTCTGCAGCATGTGCAATTATAACGCCACGCTCCCTTAAGCAGCCGTCGATATTAACAACCGGGGTCTCTGCCTGCTGCTGGTTATCTGCTGCGCCTCTGCCTCTGAGGACTCAGTGTTTGTCAGGAGACGCTGTGTGGTCGTAGAGAGAAGATCATGGCTGCTGACCTTTAGAAATAACATTTGAAAGGTGCGAGGAGGGCTCGGTTACCTTTGCTGTGGGGAGGGACAGAGCTGGCTGTGAGACCCGGAGCTCACTTTCAACACTCTGTACTCAGCTTGGAAAAATAAAAGCAGCCCTAACGCTTCTTTAAAATTAAGTTTTAACATAATACTGCTCCTTCTTTACAGAAAGCAAGTGATGTTATGTGCTTCAATCCCAAAAAATAATAGTGTATCAGTTTGAACAGGTAATATCTTGTATTTGTAGAGTATTTAATTGAAGTTAGGTGGAAAATTACTTGCAAATGTTATTAATTCATGTTTCCATAGTGCCCTCACGTCATTGGAACTGCAGTTTGTAAGTTTCTACAAGTTTATTAAAGTAATTTTCCAGCTGACCCTGAACGCAACCTCAGCTGCTGTGTCATTAAGAAAACATGTGGCTATAATTTCATCTAAAAAAAAATCTAATTTCAATTAAAATCTGCTTGATATAAATCTCAGAAACATCTTTGTTACAGCTGACCCCATGCTCCCCTATTGTTTAGTTATTGAGTGTGAAATTGAATCAAAGTCTAGAGTCAGCAGAGGAAGTGGGCCAGGTCCAACACACATCAATGCAGAGCTAATAACACTGAAAGTGTAAATTAGGAGGCTAATCACCCCAGTTCTACGTTTGTACTTTTGGCAGTGACACACAGACTTCAGCCTAATTGGAATTCTATGTTTCACAGACTTAATGATATAATATAATGGCTCAAAATCAGGCAGTGGATCAAAACTCATTTGTACGAAGCCAAATGAGTTTCAGATGGCTCTGCTCTTACAGGACTGGTTTCCTGGGCTTCATCTTTCAGACTGACGGAGGTTCAACACTCTGAAGAGCTCACAGTGAAACAAGACTTGGATCTTTATCAACCAAACCAGCAACAAGGACACATGCCACAGGACTGTATTCATGTTCTTGTCCTACTTTTCAGTCGGCTCCTGAGATGGCACCCTGTTCCTGCTGCAGTATTTTGTTTTTGATCCCCCCTCTTCTTGCAAATATTGGTAAATATCTTAATATTCAAGCAAGCTGAAAACTGTGTTTGCTGCAAACAGTTGTACAGCAGCAATGTTTGGAGGGTATTGTGCAAAGCTAGAACATTTTTCTTAACATTTTCAGTCCTACTTCTTTGGCATCCCTTTGGAGTTACAGAGTTTACTGATTCAACACTAAACACTTTTGGCTGACAGAGATTATTGGATTACGTCTCTATTTCAAGAATGTTTCGATTCTTCTCATGGAACTCCTTTTGTTGTGGCGGAGAGAAGACTACAGTTTACAGGTTCAAGGACTTTTCTTGCAACAACAGTGATCAGAACGAGGAGGTCTGATTGTTATTATTTATTTGACATGTCACAAAGAATTAAGTGGTATAACTCTGCCTAGCCTAGCCTAGCCTCTCTCTTGAAGCACCGATCCCAACAAACACAGCAAAGTCTGTGAATAGTCCCGGCTATGCTTTCCCACAGGCCCACAATTTTAGGGTCCTGAGCCATAAAAACTATCATGCAAAATAGATGGAAAAAAAGATCTACAAGCCATGTGGTGTCTACACCACTCTATAACAGCATATAACATTTTAAGTCAACATTTTTAGGCATTATCCAGCTATTTTTATCATCTTAGCACTTGCTGTGAGCCTCCTTATTTATACACTTATTTATTCTTTTCCAACAATGTATTTCTGCTCGCTTTATCTTGTTCTTTGATTGTTTTATTTGTTTTTATGTGTCATTGTACAGCACTTTGGCTACCCTTGTGGTTCTTTTAAATGTGCTATAGAAATAAAGTTGATTGATTGATTGATTGATTGATTGATTGATTGATTGATTGATTGATTGATTGATTGATTGATTGATTGATTGATTGATTGATTGATTGATTGATTGATTGATTTGAAAACCTGTATACACCAATACAATACAATACAATACAAGATTATTTATCCGCAAAAGGAAATTCATTTGTCTGGAATTTCTGATAGACTGCAGATAAACCAAGTCATGATGGTGAAGGGAGAGGGTGACATTGTTGAAGTCTCTTGATATGATTACAAGTGCCTCAAGATGTTGAGTCTGTATCCTAGCAACAGTATGATGGAAAACATCATACAGAACTTCAGCTGTTGCCTTGGGTGGGATGTAAACAAGTATTGTTATGATATGACTGAATTCTCTCGGAACATAATATGGTGAAGAGAAACTGACTACAGTTCAATATCTGGACAACACAACTTCTCCTTCATAGTTAGTTGTGAAGAGTTACAACATCTCTGGTTGACAAATGAAGCCAGACCTCCTCCTTTCTTCTTGCCACTAGCTTTAGCACCTCTGTCTGACCTATGAGAGTGAAGCCAGGTAGATCCACACTGGAGTCCAGGTTATTTTGATATCACTAGATTTCAATAAAACACAGGAGACTGCACTCATGATATGCTTTCTCAATCTTCACCAATATGTTTCCCATGATGACTGATGGAAGAAAAGGCTGATATCTCAATCTCCTAGCCATCGACTTTGCTTTCACCCTTGCACAAACATGGCAACCACGAAAAACACCTCCAGATGTCCACTGGAATTGGATCTCATCATCCAGATTTGCTCTGTCTCAATGTCAGAAGCACCTCTCTTGAATAAGTTGACAAAACATGATAAAAATATGAAATGAGTAAAAAATTGCAGAAAATTCAGATAGACCAGGTTTTGGTGCTACTTGATTGAGCACAGATTCTAGAATCATGTGTTTTAAATATAGGAAGGTGTAATAATATATACCTTTAAATACCTATATACATCACTTTTTTATGTAGATAGGGCAACTCTGCTTTCTGGTTTAGCTATTTTTTGGAGACTAATTTATGCCAGCGTTCCATTTGCAGTCAGAAAGCCTGTTAATTTTTGCACTATTTTGCACCACCAGACAATTCCTTGATATGGCTCATGCACCAATTAGTGATATATAACTCAAACAAGCCCTCATAAAAAAATAAATAAATACTGGAATATCCCTTTAAGGGCTAATCAAGGTGAACAAGGCTCCATATAAATTTGCATTAGAAGCAGGGCAGTCATGAGCAATTTGCATTCAGGTCCCTGGATTAATCACATGCTTCAGCATGTTGATAGTGACGGCCCTACTTATGGTTTATGTCAACAGATGGTAAGACAACAAAGGTATGGCATTGGGAATATTTATCTATGCCGTCACTCACACTCAGTTCAGCCGTATGGGTAAACATGTACGACCAGTTTATCCCGATGTGGAAAGACAGCGAAGATTCATTTACATGACAATTCAGTGAAACGCAGAGATTCTGCATTAGCAAGTCTAACATTGACATAAATCTCTTTGTTTTAGAATGATGCGAGTCAATTGTTGGTCATGAATATCGCTCCTCAAAATAAACGCATGCAGTCCTTTGGAGAGCTGGTGGTTTTTATTAAACAATGAACTGTAATTGTTTTGTATGCAGATCGCTCCTCTGTGCACAGATGGAGTCGGTTACACTCCTGCTCGTCCCTGTTGCCTGTTACAATAACTGTGAAGTATCACTTTCTGATTCTTCTCCCCCCCGTCAGAGAGCACTCGGCTTGGGAAAGTGGGCTGTGACTGCTGATGGTAAAACAGAAATGGATAAACAGAGCTTTGTATGACACAGAAGCTATGGCGCATCAATGCAGCAGCTACTCATCTCAATTATACATGCATATAATGATCCTGCTGGCTCAGAAACTCGCTGTTTTAATGGCTTCTTAGAAGTGGCAAACATGCAGATGCTATAGGGAGGATACATACAATCAGGCTGTTTTTGTGTCTTAGAAAACAGCTCCAGAGGAAATTATACATGGAAGTTATTTCCATATAAAAAGATAGCACTAATCTCACACAGTTGGATGCACTGGGAGCTGGTTCTTGGGCATTTCTTTGAATATGAAATATACAGATTTGTTCATCTGTTCTGCGCCATTTCTTTGTACAAGATGAAAAACTTGGGAAAATAAAGACGTTACTATAACCTCAGCATGTAGGAGACCAGAGATTTTTGGTTGTTCCCTAGCCTCCAAACATCAAGTCCGAGCCATGCCTCAGTTTGGACAGAGCATCAGGTTCTGCTGAGTGTCATGTGTGAATGAGCACCATACTTTTCCTAATGAAGGGATGCACTGATCGGTGATACTGAGGTGGGATCATTGCAGGTGTCTGACAGTCTCCTAAACACCCCAGCAGCTTGTGGGTTTATTTTTAAAGGAGGTCATTTTTGCTGTCTCTCTCTTTCTATGCTGTGAACACATTATTGATCTTCTGGGTTGTGATTCGCTTGAAACTGCTGCAAAATTACTGACAGAATATTTATTTCTTGGACAGTTTTGAGTTTGCAATAATATATTTTTGGGTTAATGCTTTTAAGGGGTTTAGTAATTCTGGTCATGATACAACGCAATATGTATTTATTAACAGTAATGAGTCAACAAGAAAGTAGGTGGCAGTACTTCAAGAGGTAGAGCGGTTGTCCAATAACTGGAAGGTTGGCAGTTTGATTCCCCCCTATCTCTAGTCTGTCCGTTGTGTCCTTGAGCAAGACACTTAACCCACCCTGCTCCACTGGTGTGTGATTGTGAGTGTTGTGTGGTGGTTGGAGAGGCTGTAGGCCTCAGGACAGCTGGTCTCTGATAAAGTGCTATAAAATCTGATGCATTATTATTGTATCATTAAAAACTGTCCAATATGGTGTACCTCAAGGATCCATCCTCGTGCAAATATTGTTTCTGATTTACATCAATTTTTTAGTTTCGGTTTGAAAACCTACAACCCTTTTGATTTTTTTTGCAGATTATAGCAATTTTTTTTGCCTCCAAAAGAGACGTATAAACTCTTATTAGAAAAACAAATAAAAGACCTTCCCAGTGATGCAGCGCAGTTTCAGTCTAACAAATTATCTCTACCATCAAAAAGTCTAATTTCCTTTTATGTGCAAAGGAATAAGAAATATTTTGGTGAGCAAACACCATCATGATTCAGACAGATCGTAAACTCCCCTGGAGGGAAAAGTTTGGATTGGTCTGCAGAAAGGTAACCAAGTCTCTGGGATACTAAATGAAATCTAGGATTTTTTTTTTAACAACAGTTGTCTATTTCATGTAATAATGTGCCAAATTACACAAATTAACACTATAACAGAGGAAAGAACGCTCTGTTCTGAAGAAAAAAACTGGAAAGTGAGCAGACGAGGAGAGAGAAAAGAGGAATACATCATGGACACAGACACGCAGAGGCAGATGAAGGAGTGAACTCATGGGTCCAAGTGTACGACACGCCAGACACAGAGAGAACGATGAAGAATGGGTCGGCTCATCTGTTGGCAGCCGTGTTCTCACGAGGGAGACATCTGTGGTTCTCATCTGCTGTCACTCTTAGTCCCTGTGCACCACTGAATGTGTGTGAGGGAGAGATCGAGTCGAATCTACAATATCAATTTGTTCTTTTAATAATATTTATCGCTGCTTGAAAATCGATCTGGTTTGTGATCGAACCAGGATAGATGATCCGATGATCACCTGCCAATTTTTTTACGCCACTTTTTCCTCTATGAATATTTTGTATGCGTCTATAACTCACTCACTCATTTCTAACAGTTTTTCTCGGTTTTAGAAACTTTCACAAATAAATCAAACGAGTCTGCGGAGGGGAAATGACTGAACATGACAGAGAGGGGACACATGGGTACATGTCAAGTTACAACACGATATTAAAAACCTTCAGTCCAGCTTCCTATAATGATATAAATAGCTTTAAAAGGGGAGGTAGGCACGATCTGAGGAAGCGCCCGTTTTTGGGAGAAATCTTGAATGTAAACTCTACCCCCCCACCAGTTGTCTCCTCAGCTCCTCCTCTCCCCTCCCTCTCTGCTCCAGCAAGCCCCGCCCACAAACAGACGTCCCTGCTCGCTCGCATCGTTCCAATTAAATTCAGATATAATGCAGATAAATACTTCAGATCATTACAAATGGGGCCCAGTCAAGGTGAAAGTCAAAAGCATTGGTGCTACTGTAGATGCCAACAGACTACCAGCAAACACAATGTTTGCAGGACTTCTACAACTAGGATAAATGACTTACTCCAGGACCTGAGGTCAACAGTTTAGCGATGGCGCTACAACACGCTACAGCAGGTCTGTTTGACAAGAAACACTTCTGTTACAGACACTTGTCTTACTTTGTTAAAGCGGTTTACCTGTCCAGCAGAAAGGTTACAGGGTCACCAAGATCCCGAGGCCTCCCCCATTGTTTATGCTGATGTTGACCTAGCTTCTTAGCTCTTGTCTGGTCTGCCTCCTACCTCTTATTCCACCAGAGTCTCCGGTATTAAGTTCATTTTCTTGCGTATGTTAGCAGTCGTGGCCAAAGGAGGATTCAGACAATTTCCCGTACTTTCTTGTTGGTTTCCACTGTCCGATACTGTAGCACGCTAACTTGGTTTGTGCTCTTGACCGTGATGTGGAGCAGTGTCCACCTCACAATCAGGTTGGGGGAGGTGGAGAATGGCTTTGTTTACAGTCAGAGAGAGCGGGCCGCTCAAAAATATTAAAATGTTGACTACACAGACATAACAAAACAGTGATACTGTTAAATTACCAAATGTCATCAATAACTAATAGCTATTGACTGATATTAATTTGTTTTGCAAAAAAAGATGCCTCTTCAACGGAATCAAAAGGGGAAAATATCAAAGTCATTGTGTTAAAGTTCACGTTTCGGACATTTCAGATATTCATCTGCCTGTTGACAGACGACAACCAACCACAAACAATGTGCAATCTGGCCCAAATGAGGCCAAACTGACACGCAACCCAGAGCTTCGATCATAATCAGCTTCATTACAGTGACACACCTCAACAAGAGCGCGTTTCACAGGCACGTTTCTTTCTTCGTGAAAACAGCCCCTCACTGCCTTATCCTTTTATCCCTCTTTTCTAAACTCAATTACTCTCCTTAGAAAGCAGAATGAGCTTTTGTGGTCTTTTTAAATGGAGTTGATTATTGCAGCAAAGTTCTCACCAGTATCATCTACATCATCATCAGCTCCATTGCTGTTTCTTATTAGCCACCTAATGGGTTCACACGTCATTATGTTCAATCATGGGGGGAGTCCCCTTCAGTGTGGCTGAATTATACTGCCGCCGTCGCCCGGGGGTGAGGAGGGCTAATCGCTGACAAGGAGCCGTGTGGAGGATGTCAAACCACACACACACAAACATGTATCCTGTGCAACTTTACATTAACACACATCACTTTGATCCCGTCTGGATTACTGCTAGCTACAACGTGATTTAGTCCAACTTTTGGAAAAGTTTTGGTGTATTCTTGGAGACTAGGTGTTGGTTGAAGAAGAGGGAGACGGAGTAACAAGCCGTAACAATAGAGGAAATTGCTGAAAATATTCCTCCTTTCATGTACATTGTGCAGTTGGCTGCAGCTGTAGGTGCACCATGGGACCTCAGCCCTGCATGTGTGCAGCGTGCTGTGAGCAGTGGAGCTCAGCAGGATGGAGATGCATGAAATTATCCCAGGCCATGTGGAGAACTGGCTCGACTGTGGATAATCAGAAGGAATCAAAATGTAAATGCAGGCTCAGTCTGCAGTTGGATTTCTCTTACTCTATGGTCAGTTTTCTGACAGAAAGCATTTTCTTAAACCTGCAGAACATTTCTCCAGTTTACACCCCTGAATATAAATACACCTCCCCCTCAGATATTTCCACACCGCAGGTCTGATCAGTGTTACCGCCTGAATAAAACAGAAATATATCAGGACAAGTAAAGTGAGCGGAGGGCCCTCTCGTGTTGCCGTCCCGCCTCTCCATGCCAGAGGAGTGTCTTCATTTGACTGAGAGTGGTAGCCTTGTATCAAGGCTTCTGGCAGCGGCATCCTTCAGATCTCAATTTTCAAGATTTGTGAGCCAGAAAGTGTTAGAGGGAGAGAGAGGGAAGATAATCAGAACGGCAGAAGCAGTGAGAAAGACAGGGAGAAATAGAGGATGATGGAAAAGGGAATAAGAGGGACATGCAAGAGAGTATTGCAATTATATCAGGAAGGGTCAGTAATAGAGTATACTCGCTGATAATTGGGGGAAAATGGAGATCAGGGAGTGGGCTGGGTATCACAGAGTAGAGGAGATAAAGACTCAGACCGCTCAGTTATTTCAGGCTCTCAGCAACTTTATCACAGACTACTAAGTATCGCCCATTCAGCACTGCAAACTCTGGTTCTGGATACATTAGCCGGGAGATGAAATTGAGTTTATTTTGAAGGTTTTCCAAAGGTTAAATTTATTTCCTTTTTTTCGCCAGCACTGCAAGAAGAAGATTCTGCTTCTATATATCCACACAGAGGGAGAGAAAACTTCAGCCAATCTGAAGGTCTTACCTGAAGAGAATGAAGGTAACATGGTGGTGTGGAGGATAAAGAGGATGTAGGGCAGCAGATCTGGGAGGTTTGGAGAACCAAAGTAGTCACAACAGTCAAGGAAGTTGACCTAAAATAGACCTAAAATAGATCCAAAAATGGAGTCAGCACAAAACAAATCAAATGCACTTTGACTTTTCCTAGCTGACAGACGCAGAAGCTGCACCTAGGGCTGGGTGATGATGATCCAGTTTTTTATCCTTTGACTTTAATTTGTGGTTTAACTTCTTTCACCTCTCTGCTCGAGCAGTTCACACTTTTGTGTAAGTCTTACAGAGGCAAAAGGAACAGATTAAAATCATAAATTTAGGTTTGGTGTGAAAAAAAGAGCCTGTATCGCCCAGCCCTCGATTTTTTTCCTCTTCTTTTTCAAACATGTGTTTTTACCTTTGCAGCAAACTGTAGCCTCTCACCACTCAGTCTCACAGTCAGTCAGTTTCTGCTCCATAGAACATACATGCTGAGGTGTCCATCCTCATCCTGGGTCATCTTTGCCAGATCCTCTGCAAGTCCACAGTGTTGTGGTCTAAGTTATACCTTCTGTCTTTGCCAATCAAACACACACAAGTGTGCAACATTAGCCAAAGATCGTTTTGAACATTTCCAGGATAAACTATAGAGCAGGGGTGGAGTTAAGCAGACTATGTAAACTTCCCAAAAACACTGGAAATAAAACTATCACTAATCAAGCTTTGAAAATGTACAAAAAAACCATCACAAATGACTTTATTGAGCTCCAAAGACTCTTAGTAGATGCTGGTTTAATAAAACCATAAAACATACAAATGAATTCCACCCCAGCCTGAAGTCCAACTTGGTAGAGTCCACTCTGCCAACACCTGGTGGATAAAGGGGCGTTCAGGAGCAGCGTGTTCATGTGAGCATCATCCTTGACCAGGAAGTGGAGCTTACAGAAAACAGTAAACCGAAGTGAAATCGACACATGAAAACAAACATTTGAGGGAAAATCTACAACATAATAAAGCACATGTATAAATTAACTACAGTTGGATCTACACAAACAGAGAAGGTCTGACCTGGATTTAAACAGAACTTGCTGTGTTGTAAAATTCCTTTCCATCTTCTTTTTGAACTCCAGCGTTGCCATCTTCAGTCTCTTCTTCAACTCTTGTTGTACTTGTCTGAGTTGTTCTTTATCACCATCTCTAAAAGCTTTCTTTTTCTGATGTAGGACTGCTTTTATGTCACTTGTGATCCAGAGTTTGTTGTTGGGGAAACAGTGAGCAGTCTTTGTTGGTATAACTGTATCTCTACAGAAGTTGATGTATTCAGTAAAGCAGTCAACCTGTCTGTCAATGTTCATACTGTCCTCATCTGTTTCCAACAGCGCAGCCCAGTCTGTTGATTTAAAACAGTCCTTTAGAGCTTCACTAGCTTGAGGAGTCCATTCTCTGATTTTGACTGTAGTCCCAGGCTGTGTCAGTACACAAGGTGTGTAACAGGTCTGCAGATAGACCAAGTTATGATCTGACTTGCCCAGTGATGGTAAGGCAGCCGATCCAGGGTTTTGTTTTCTCTGGTAGGACAGCTGACAGACTGAGAGGAGAGGGTGACATGATTAAAGTCTCCTGATATGATGGTGCGTTCGAGTTACCTCCGAAGTCAGAAGTTCGAGCTGGGAATTATGTCACACCCGAATTAACAGCATAAGTCGGAAGAAAGCAAAATCAGAGGCGGAAACAAGATGGCTACATTTTAGCACTGGCCTTGTCTGAATATAAGCAAGGACAAGGCAAGCGCTACAGAAACTTTCGTAGATGTAGCCATCTTATTTCCGCCTCCAATTTCGCTTTTTTCTGACTTAGTGACTGAAACGCTGGTATCTCGGGTGTGACGTCATTCCGAGCTCAGACATCTGACTTCCAAGGTAACTCAAACGAACCATTAGTACAAGTGCCTCAGGTTGTTGAGTCTGCATCCTAGCAACAGCATCATGGAGAACATCACACGGCACTTCGGCTGTTGCCTTGAGTGGAATGTAAACAAGTATTGTTATAAGACTAAATTCTCTCGGACAGTTCAATATCTTGACAACACAACTTCTCCTTGACAGTTATGTGTGAAGGGTGACACCATCTTTGTTTTCACAAATAAAGCTAGACCTCGTTCTTTCTTCTTGCCACTGGTTTTAGAACCTCTGTTTGACTTTATGAGATTTAAACCAGGTAGATCCAAAAAGTTGTTTTGATATAACCAGATTTCAATAAAACACAGAAGACTGCACTCATGATGTGCTTTCTCAATCTTCACCAATATCTCCAGCTCATTTCTTTTGTTGGGCAGAGAGTTGACGTTTCCCATGATGATTGATAGAAGAAAGGGTTTATATCTCCACCTCCAAGCATTCATCTTTGCCTTCAACTTTGCACGAGCATGGCAACCATGATAACACGTCCTGATGTCCTCTGGGATTGGATATTGTTGTCCAGATTTGTCTTTGTCTTCACGAAAGGTGCTCTTCTCTTGAGTAAACTCTGATGGAAGTATCCATCAGCAGCCCACAAAAGAGAAAAAAAGAAAATAATTTAGAGACCAGACTTAATTGCGGCAACCTCTCGGTTTAAGCGCGTCATCCAAATTGGTATTCAAAGTACACAAAACAACAAGTGTCTGAAGCTGTATCGGCCCCCAGACTCTGCTGCTTTTTAATGTATGCACATATATCCACTCAGTATACAACTCTGTGAACAAAGGCTACATAATTACCTTCCAGCATGTATTCAGGGGCAGGTATGAAGCTTCATGCATACAGACATGTGCTCATCCACATATAGTCTTTCAAACACTTTTCACTTTCCTCCTGAGGAATTTGAATCATCTCTTCATCGTTTCCTTTTTTCTCTGAAATCCTGCTTGTTTGATGTTGTTAGAAGATTTTTTTTAAGACATTTCTTTTTTTTTTCCTAACAAGAGTAGCTTTCAAATTATGTTTTTGTGTTCATATTTGCTGTTTAATTTCCCATATGGGGTTTCTTCTCTATCAGCATGGGAACGTTGCTTGAGTTCTAGTTTTTCCTGCGCATACCTGTGGATGTTTGTTATTCATGAAAGCTTGTATGTGTGCATGCGTGTGTTTTTGCGTGTGTCACGGCCAGAGGCGGTGGCAGGAGGTCAGATGCAGCTGGATTTTCAAACCCCAGGGATTCTCTTCTGACAACAACAACCCTCCGTCTGTCTGTCCAACTCAAGCCTCCTGCCCAGACAGCGCCAAGCTCAGGGATCACTGGGCTTGGCATAGACACACAGGCGCACACATGGGCACATATACACATCTCCTCCAGCTACAGCTGTACACTACATCCCAGAGTAACACCTCAGTGAAGTCTGAGTAGCACCCAAACACTCCAAACACCATCCACCTGGGAGCAGAGAGCTTTCAGGCAGGAACACACACCACAGCAGCCAAGCTGGAAGTCTTAGATCCAGTCTGTGAAAGATGATGTTGATTTCAAATATGCATCGCCGGATACTTTTTCACTTGAACATTTGTTGGCTTTGCAAGAGTTAGCCTTGCAAATCAGACCTTTGAGTGTTTCTCAGCGTAGGGCTAGTCCAGAAACATATTCAACATATCTGTTTATGCATTTTCCTGACTATCATATGAATCACGTTCTCCTGCAGGATGGTTGAAATTTGTGGGCATGCACACCTGCAGAAAACAGCACAGTCATCATGTCCCTGACATCC